TATAAGTGCTACTTGCGTCAATTGATAGAGTTCATATCCCCTCCTTAAATATCCTCATTCATTTCCTCCTTGCAACGGCTGATCTCAGCCTCACACTCACACTGTCTCTCTCGTTGCTATATATACAATAAATAATAACAATTAAAAAAAAAAAGTGTTCTTCAACAACAGATATATATATATATAGTGAGAGAGAGAGAGAGAGATGCGATCGACTTCGAGTGGCGGTGGTGGATCGACGGAGGGCTTCTTCGCTTCAGATCTGTTCAGATCGGTTTCTTCAGATCTGTTCTGAGTCTGCGTGAGTCCGTGAGTGAGTGAGGGGGATGCGATCGACTTCGAGAGGCGGTGGTGGAATGGCAGAGGCGGTGGTGGGGTGGAGCAGCGGGTGAGAGAGAGGGAGAGGAGCTGTGATCGACTTCGAGAGAGAGAGAGACAGAGGTCAGAGAGGGAGAGAGAGTGATCCAGGTCTGTGACTGTGAGATAGAGTCTAGAGAGTGATGCAAATCTGAGATAGATGCAAATCTGTGAGGGAAGGGTTATATTAAATATATATATATAAATGGATAGAGGGAGCATAAAGGTAGTTTTATTTCGGGGAGGAAACGGGGCGGGGCTCGGGGACGGGGCCGGGAAAGCTATCCCTGTCCCCGGCCCGAAATTAATCGGGAATGTATTTTTTAATACCATCTCCGGCCCGTGGGGAGTATTTTTCGAAGAAAAACCATTGTAATCGGGGATGGAGGGTCGGGTCCCCGTCGGGCCGTGTTTAAATTGCCATCCCTAGACTTGGGGAGGGTGCTAATAAATAATAAAAAATAAAAAACCTAACCACAAAAAAGATTGGGCTTGGGGAGGGTGATGTCATAGCACCCCGATGTGACCCCTCTTGAGGTATGTCTCAATTTAATTTTGATAATCCGGCCTATTTATATTATAGAGGTTGTTAAGTATATCATTCATATAAAAAAAAAAGATTAATTGGATATAGGTAGTCCCATGATGATCAGACCATAATTATTTTTATAAAATTATCAAAATTATGCTAATCATTTATTTTTTTAAAATATAAATGTGGTCTTATTATAAGCTACACATACTTAATTGACTTGATTTTTTTTTATGAATGACCTACTCAACGTAACTTACAATATAAACAATTTAAATTATCGAAATAGATTTGAAAAATACCACTATAAGCTCACAATACTGTACGCACAACACCCTCCCCAGTTCCGAAAAGACTAGGCATTATCTATGGGCTTGGTATTGGAAAACATTAGACGAATTCAATGACTCTTATCTATATATGAATATGAATATATAGATGGCTATGTCATGCTAGCTTTGAAAAAATTATGCTGAACTAAACCCTTTTTCTTTCTTCGAGATTATTGCCCATGCCCCTAACATTTTGACTTTTTAAATCAAACTAAAAGATAGCGTGATAATGAATTACAACTTGCCCTAAGATTTATTTGATAATTTAATTTAACACTTAAAATTAAATCAATTAAAAATGAAATAAATTGATTTGATAATCAAAACTTGTATCACTTAATCTCATAAGTTTCTCTTGAAATTAATGAAAAAAAATTAAGTAGCTACTTATTCTTATTTTTTATATAATTTTTTGCCATCAAATATTTTCATGACAAATCTCTACTATCAACGCCACCTCCCCACCACCAAAGCACCACCACCACCACTCCACCTTTTCCATGCCGATTCCACTGTCATCTCTATACCTCAACCAATCTCCCATCTACCGTTGCTGACATTGCCACACCACCACCACAACGTCACCACCACAATATATAAATTTAAAAAATTAATAGTAACAATTTTTTATTTCAAATTTTAGATTCTTGTACTGATTCATTTAATTTAATTTAACACTTAAATTTTTATTAAATAATATTTCGAATTAAAAAATTACATCATTTAGTTTTCAGAAGTTTATCTTCACCTTTTAATTTTTAGCTTTTAATTTTATCAAACAATACCTAACACAATGATGGTAAATAAGGGAAAAGACCTTGCTAATTACTTATTTGAGCTATAGTTTATAACTAAGAAGATTTTAACTATGTTAATAAGTTTGGGTATACATAAATATAGAGCCGCGATCACTTAATATTAATTTTTTTTTTTTAAAAAAAAAATCTAGAATGGACAAGTATATATAATTTTTTAAAAAAACAATAACTAATACTAATATAACAAAAATGCTTTTCTTCTTATTATTATTTTTTAAATCATAAGAATAACGATGACACCAACTTGCAAACCCAACCCTAAGTTCACCCTTAAGAACATGGCTACTGTACTTATTCCAGTGATATATTTACGTGCTCCACTTTTGTTTATGTTGTAGAGCTTCTTTATTCAACAGAGAGATGGCAAAAATTTCAGAGATGATATTGGATTTATTTGGTGTAATTTATTGTAAGAAAAAAGTCAATAATCAGAAAATAAAAATTAAAAATACTCATTTTTCAACTTTAAAATAATCAACTCGATAATCATAAATAATGATGCTTTTTCCTTGGGCTGTTTTTCATTGATGTAATTCATATGTACACCTTGACTTTTGTTTTGCATTAATAAATTTATTTTTTGCCAACCAAAAAAAATAAAATAATAATAATAATCTGCACCATTATAATTGTATGCCAATGTTTCTCTGTTTTCAAATATTTTTATCTTCTTATTATAAAATACTCATAATTACTGGATCATTGAAAAATTTGAGTTGTGATAACCTCAAAACATGATCTAATTAATAAGAATGTTTTGAAGCAGACAAATATAAAAATTTAAAATTAAAGGATGCCATGCCGGATTGTACATATGACTCCTCTAATAATTTTTATATATATATATATATTTGACTACCTTTGGGATTGTGAGGTAGTGATCTCTTATTTTATTTTGTTCTTTAGGGGTTTGAGAGTTTCTTTCTTTCTAGGCTAGGTAAGGTTTGCCGTGGAGGTGTCTCATTCTTGGCCGAGTCTTTATGTGCGCTTTGGGTATGTCTCCAGCATCATCATGTATTTTTATTTAACCAACTAGACTAGGTCTAGTTGACCATTATACATTTCTTAAGGCTTAGTTTATAGAGAGGTCATGGGTTTAACTTTTCTTAAGGAACACTATAAAAAATTTAGATTTTAGAGATCAAAATTTAGAGATAAAATTAATTTTTAGGGATCAAATATTCTTGTTGTGAAAAGTGTAGTTATTATATTTTTAATAACGAAAATTAGACATTAGCAATGAATTATTACCTTTTTGGAATTAAATTTTTTGTCTCAAAAAGTAAACAATTTTAAGACCAAATTATTTTATTCCTAAAAGTCTATTTATTAGTGACATTTTCAAAATTTTGTTAGTGAAAACCTTGTTTTTAACTTTTCGAGACGACTTTTTAGTGACTATTCTCACAATGATAGACACTGGTCCCTAAATATTTTTTGCAACAAAAGTTTCACTTTTAGAGACTAAAATATTTGGTCTCTAAAACTCTCATATGTTGTAGTGGAAGTTGAATTAAAAGAGTGCAAACATTTAGGTGCGCTTTGCCAAGGGTGGAAGGTTTTTTCCAATAGGTGCTAATCTAATAACTAATATTTGCCGATCAAAACAAAAAAAAAATTATGTATTTTATTTTTTATTTTCATAATAAAAAATTTACTTACAAAAAAGAAAAAAAAAAAAAAAGAGATTAGTAAATGCAGAAACATGTAATCGTTGGTATCATTGTTCACTAGACAAAATCTTGATAGTTTTTGGTCACAAAAAAAATAACAAATAAATAAATAAATAAAGGGGCATTTACACATAAGTCCTAATTTATGAACTTATACTCCATTAAGTCCTAATCAAGGTTTTTTAAACCTTCAAGTCCCATTGAAACAAATGTCTCACATTGATAACACCCATCAACCCCAGGAAAGTTCAAGATGGAGAAATCACCGTACATTCACAGACTCAGATTCCACTCTTCTCTTGCCAAGCTCACTTTCTGGTCCTTCATGTTGTTAGGCTTAATCTTGATCTTCTTCTTCAAATCACCCTCTTCATCATCTTCTTCCCCAATCTCTTCAGATCTCTCCCGCCGATCTCTCCGAACCCATTCTTGGGCCAACCTAGTTTGGGAAAAAATGGTTCAATCCTTTGCCTGAGTAATACTTCGAATTACCATTCAAACAATAATTGGTTATCATTTATAATTATTTATGAAGGATCATAATGATTTGACATTTATTTTGATTTTTAAAATTTTAAAATATCAACTTTTAAATTGAAAAAACTTAAAAAAAGTATGAAAAAAAAACTAATTTTTTTTGAAAAAATTGAGAAAACTAAATTATTTTTTGTGCAAAACTAAAAATTTTGTATCTATAAAGGAGCATGATGATGGAACATTGATGTGCAAAAAAAAAAAAAAAACTTTAAAATGAAAAACTGATAATGTTCTCAGTTTTAAAACTAGAAAAAACTGTTAATATTTTCAGTTTTATTGGATAGTTAAATTAAACCAATAAGCAGAAACGTAAAAATGTTTAATCTTATGCTTTGTTTTTTTAATCGGTTAGTGAAACAATTATCTGGAATATTACTATGCAAAATTGATAGTATTCTTAATTTTAAAAATTAAAAAAAAAAAACTGATAATATTCTCAGTTTTACTAAATAGGACTTATTGGTTCAAAAAATCTTAAATAGGAACTAAACTACCATAACATTTGTAAATAGGACTTTTAAGTAATTAACTCATAAATAAATAAAACAAAACAAAATAATAGGAGCAGTAAGAAATAGAAATTAGAAACGTGTGTAGTTGTTATGAAGAACCATTCATCCTTGAAAGCTGAATGGAGAAAAAAACTTACCCATTTAAGACTTGGTAAGTCTGATTTGATTGGTAATATAAAATTTAAAATTACAAATTCAACTACTCTTATCTATCTGTATCTATAAATAGACATGCTTTTCCATGCTAGATCTATCACCCTCCTTCAAGCAATTAGGCATATAAACATTCCAATTTGCTTCAAATAACAATTTCTTGTTACTTGTTGATGATAAAGATGAGCACTCACTTTTTCCTTGTAACCATAGCCATCATTGCCTTAGCCTCGACACTTGTTTATGCTTCTGACCCTAGTCCTCTACAAGATTTCTGTGTTGCTGTTAATGATTCTAAATCTGCAGGTATACTATATACTCATCTCTGTCTCCAAAATTTTTGCTTTCCAAACTCAAATTTTGAAATTTGATTTTAATGACAACTTTATTTGATTCGATTGCATTTTGATGATATAATTAAGACTTTAGCTTATTCATGGATGTGTATTCCATATGGCCTTTTCATTTTGAAGTCATTTATTCAATGGTTATTTCTACACTTTTGGTAGCCAAAGGAAGTACTATGTTTTCTGGCATTTTAGTCACCAATATTTTAATTATTTCAATCTCATCCCCAAAGTACAAAATGCGCATTAAAGTAATTTCTATTGCTGATGTCGTCAGTATTCACATAATCACGTAGAACTCATTTAAATTGTGTCCAGTTCATATTATTGTATCATTTCATCCAATTCTTACTTAAATACAAGATCATTTCCTTTAATAATCACGTAGAACCCATTTAAATTGTGTCTAGTTCATATTATTATATCATTTCATTCAATTCTTACTTAAGTACAAGATCATTTCCTTTGCATGCAGTGTTCGTGAATGGCAAGTTTTGCAATGACCCAAAGCTTGCCAAAGCCAAGGACTTCTTCTTTTCTGGTCTCCTTACTCCACGAAAAACATCGAATCCAGTTGGGTCAACGGTCACTCCCGTAAATGTCATGCAAATACCAGGCCTCAATACTCTTGGTATCTCCTTAGCTCGCATTGACTTTGCACCTTACGGCCTCAACCCACCCCACACGCATCCTCGCGCAACTGAGGTTATCGTGGTCTTAGAGGGTACCCTCCACGTCGGTTTCGTCACCTCCAATCCAGAAAACCGTCTCTTTACCAAAGTCCTTTATCCAGGAGATGTTTTTGTGTTCCCTGAGGGTCTCATTCACTTCCAGTTCAATCAAGGAAAGACCAATGCAGTGGCCATTGCTGCTCTAAGTAGCCAAAACCCTGGTGTTATTACTATTGCTAATGCGGTGTTTGGGTCGAACCCAAAGATTTCTGATGATGTTCTTGCCAAGGCATTCCAAGTGGACAAGAAGGTGGTGGACCATCTTCAAGCTCAGTTCTGGTGGCCTAACAACTAGATACATAAACAGAAAAGAGAACTCACGAATCTATTGTTTTTTAAACTTTAAATAAATATGATGTAATATATCTTAAATAAGCGGGTTAGTTACGGTTAATTTCCTTACAACTGTTTTCCTATAATTCAATAATAATAAAGTTTGTTAAAGAGTTCTCTCTCTTTCTTTTATATAATGATGACACTATCTTGATCTTTCTTCTGTATCCCATATTGAATAGCTAGAAGATGGCAATGGACTCTTGTATGAGTTGCAATGAGAATACTTTGAAGTAACTCCCATGTTTGTGTAAATAACTTTGTTAGTCGAAATGCTATTTTGGAAACTGAGAAGTTTACGTGAATCAACAGATAAGGAATCCGATTTTGTTTGTATGAACAAAATACAAATGTTGATTGGTCTATAATTTTGGGCACATTTAAATTTTTTTTTGAGGAATATTTCTTCTGCCTATCTTGATCCGTGAATATTCTTAATTACTTCAGTGTTTTTGCATCACATAGACGAGGACAGATATGTTCTTCTACAAGATGGTTGAAAGATAAGGAAATTGATGAGAGCTCACGTTTTTGTGCTAAAGCTTGGGGCAAATGATTTTATTTTCCCGCAACTAGAAGCCTCTGTCCTCTAATTCTTTTATCTCCATCTGAATGCACCGTAAATTATTAGATTATGTAGGAATTTTGAAACATGTAAATCCCGTGGCATTATCTGTTCCAAGTTAGTTTTGATGGATATGATGCTTTGATTACCCTGTTTATTACCATCATCATATTCAAAAAAGGGTAAATTATAGTTACCTTTGCTAAGATTTTTGACAATTATAGGGTCCTCTCCTGTAGTTTCAATAATTACAGAAACTTTCTTTACTTTTTCTAACATTGTCAACATTCCCTACTTCCATTAATTTAACCCAAACGGTGTTAACTTGATTATGCAAATGACCATAATACCCTTTAAGTATAATTTACCTATATATTAAATTATCATTTTATTTCACATAATTTCTTTTTTTTATTATTTATATTTCCTTGACTTTGTATCTTTTTTTCCACTATAAGTTTTTGAACTTTTATAAGTTTAAAAAAAAAAAAATCAACTATTAATGAAATTAAGAAAGAATATTCATGTTTCTTATTTGAATTAATTTTGAGATTTAATAAAAATAATTTAAATGAAAGAAATAAAGATGGAGATATAGATATAGATTTTAGATGTAATAAATAACAAATTATTTGGGTATTTTATTATTTTCAAATAATTTATTTCTTCAAGTAAAATTCTATTTTAATTAGATGTAAGAAATGGCAAATTTAAATAATTTATTATTCTCAAATAATTTCTTTGTCTTTCATTTCCTATCATCTATTTTTAATTTATTGTAACGTGATTAGATATTTTTTAACTTTTAAATTTATTTTTAAAAATTTTATTATTAAGGTGAGAAATATTGACTCATTTTTGTTTTTAGTATCCATCGATTGGAATTTGAAAAATTCAAAGATGAAAATTAAAATTTGAGAATAATATAGGAATGTGAAAAGAACAAAATGATTAATTGTTTTAATTTTTTTATATATATTTATGAGGTAACATTTGGTAAGTTTTATAAGTCAATTTTTTTTTTATTATAAATATGAAATGTTATTATGGTTATTTTTCTTAAAAAAAATTTAATACACAAATATGTTTACAAAACAAAAGAAAAATTCATATTTCATAAGTTGCTATGATATAGGGTGATGCTAGCTAACATTGATGAAAGGGAAAAAATGATGAAAAAATTGAGGAAAAAGCATAGAGAAGAGAATAAATAATAATAATAATAATAATAATAATAATAATAATAAATTATATGATGTTGTTATTAGTTACAGTGATATTATGAAAAAATGAATGTGAGAATAAATAGGAAGAAAAATGAAAGAAATAAAGTAAAGAAAATGGAAAGAGATTGATGATTTCTCCAAATATGTATTTTTCATACGGAAAAAAAGAAAAAATCAAATGCTGAGAAGTATTTTTAAATTTTTATTCAAATTTTTCTTAAAAAAATTTAATACACAAATATGTTTACAAAACAAAAGAAAAATTCATATTTCATAAGTTGCTATGATATTGGGTGATGCTAGCTAACATTGATGAAAGGGAAAAAATGATGAAAAAATTGAGGAAAAAGCATAGAGAAGAGAATAAATAATAATAATAATAATAATAATAATAATAACAATAATAATAATAAATTATATGATGTTGTTATTAGTTACACTGATATTATGAAAAAATGAATGTGAGAATAAATAGAAAGAAAAATGAAAGAAATAAAGTAAAGTAAAGAAAATGAAAAGAGATTGATGATTTTTCCAAATATGTATTTTTCATACGGAAAAAAAGAAAAAATCAAATACCTAGAAGTATTTTTAAATTTTTATTCAAATTCTAATTTCTTAAAATAGGTATTCATAAATTGGTGGTCTTTTTTAAAAATAAAACATCTTTTATATTTTATTTTGTAATTTTCAAACGAAGGATTATATTTAATCTAGTATAAGGTTTGACGCTGATCAATTTATTAGCTCTTTTTTATTTTATAGATAAGGTAATGTTTGGTTATCCTACTATATATGATTATCTTAACAATTTAGAATTTTTTTAAATATTGTATAGAATTTAATAATTTTGTTCAACATTATTAAAATAATGAATGGGTACCTCTTTATTAATTTTTTTGTAAACGAGGTAAGTAAAATTTACTATTTGAATATATAAGGGCAATCGTAGAATTTTTTACTCATAGTACATAACATCAGCATGACGTCAGTATATTCTGTTAAATAAAATAACAGAAAATTAACGGTGGGGGAATCTTAATAATAATTTCAAAAGCAAGGGAGGTTTTTGTAATTATTGAAACTACAGGATAGGTTCTTGTAATTGTCAAAAATCTTAGAGGAGGTAAGTGTGATTTTCCCTATTCAAAATAATATTTTGCATACTTTATTCAGTACACACTACAACAAATTAAAAGTTTAGAAATAAAAATTTAACGACAAAATAGTTTTTAGGTATGAACTCTACAATAAATTAAGGTTTTAGAGATAAAATCACATTTTAGGAATGAAGTATTTTTGTTAGCAAAGATGTCATTGTATTTTTAGCAATAAAATTGGAAATTCAATGACGAATTACTATATTTTTGGGACCAAAATTTTTATCTCTAAAAGTGAATTTATTAACTACATTTAAAAAAATTTATTGCTAAGAGTCATTTTTTAACTTTTGGGACAACATTTTTGTAATGCCCCGGCTTTTCAAAGTCCGGCTCATGTGAAAATACCCCAAAATTAATAAGTAAAAAGATGATAATCATATAGAAATAAATAATATCTCACATGCAATGGATACAATAGTGTCACACAATATATGTGTTATTTCAATTTCATACATCCTACGTGGAATGGAGGCTTGTTGACTAAAACATACAACAAATGATATATATATCAAATTAAAATGTCTAAAGGCTTACATCATTTATGGAGGGTGTAACCCTTACAAGAATGACACGCGGCCTAATAAACAACACAATTGGCCCGTGGCCTAGAAATAAAGGAACCACCATACACGGTTCTGAACACAATTTCTACGTCTCAGTCTACATCTTTACATGCACACCTGAAAAACATTTTCAGCCACGTAGGGTGAGTATAAAGCCCAATAAAGAATATTTCAAAAATTAAACATGCTCCACTAGCATAATTGATCATGATATAGTACATATATATAATATGTCCAATGAGTTTTCAAAATCTGTCTGATTTCTCAACAAAATCATTTTCGTTCCAAACCTCCAAAACCAATCGTTTATTCAAAACATCCGTTTGAAATAAAATCCATTTCCAAAACAAGTTTGGTATATCACAATACCAACCAGCAAATACATTGCTAAACCAAACGCGAATACATCTGTTGGCTTTTTTGGCTTTTGAAGGTTAATTATGTATTTTAAAGTGTGCCAGCAAGGATCAATCAGTCCTTATAGAATTTTAATTACCAACAAATTATTAGATGATTCTGTTGCTGTTCTTTCAGCCTCAATGAAGAGGACTTTTATTGGTGACTGTTTAGGAGAAAACTTATAAATGATCACATATACAAAATAGTTCATAAACTGAATTATTATTAAATAAATAAGAACTTACAATGAAATGACCCAGCCTTGAAAAGGTTATAGCAGCGACTACTTAAAACTACTCCTAGGAAATGAAGTGCAGTACAGGAATTGAAGAACTGGAAATGTAAAGAACTGGAAATATAAAAATTGGAAAAAAATATGAAGTAAATAAACTGGTTTTTTAATCTGAGCTTGGGTCCTTCATTCTGGGACCTTCTCTTCTATTTATACTTCCCAATGGCAACTATCGCAGTGGGCTTCCAACCGTCGAAATGCATTTCCACGATCTCTGGTTATGGCCCTAAATAACTTGCTCCCAGGATGCCTTCTTTGCAGTTGGGCTTCCCTCTTAAATTTGAATTTGAATTTGAATTGCGAGTAATCGTTGAGCCATGTTACTTTACGCCTTCTAACTACTTCCATGCGACGCAGACCCACAACTACCAATATGAACTGCCACATATTTATCGCTGGTTGGAGACTTGCATTAACTCCCCAAATTACCTTTTTCGAGCCACGTGTTAAGCTATGATTGGCCTGTATGAAATATGTAGCCAACATTACCTCCCGCACTAATATACCCAATACTTGGCGATATTATTGGATCAATGCACTCTATCCACGTCCTAAGACGTGTATGGACTTGGCTAAATCATTACCATATTTTTAAAAATGAAGCACTAAACTTCATTAAATTCTTCCATTCCATCCATTATTTACGAATATGAGGAGACAGATACATCTTCAATGGCCGATTAAGCCTTCTTTTACATTGATCGAGCATACGAGGAGGTGTTTGATAATAACAACCGTCCTCGAAAGAACCTTCATGCATTTATTGGCCACACTTATCCGCTTCCATTTATACAAGTTATGGAAGCTTTTGCACCATATTAACCTTTGGACCAAACATTTGCACAAATAGATCTTGAAAGCTCTTCATCTACTCCAAAACTCTCTACATGGGATAAAGCTGCTTCATCGTCTTCTAAAAATACTGGCTGGGATGCTTGGCCCATACCCACT